GAGGTCGTCCTTCAGGCACATCTGCCAGTTTTGCTCCGGTTTCCCCCTGCCTGGGCCCTCCCCCCCCACCAGTTCGCCAAGCATCACCCGTTTCGGGAGTCGTCCGTCTGGCTGCCTTACCAGCGCTCCCGCGAACAGCAGGCGCCGTTGCCGGATAGTGGTTTGCACGCTCTGGCACCCTACCCTCTTCAGGGTATGGGCGTAGGAAAGCTGCCGATAGGTGCCCTTCTTGCGTTGGTAACCGATAACTCGCAGGAGCAGTCGGTGGTGTATCGTCCGCAACGTCCGGTAGTGGTCTTAGATGTGTAGACGGAACATAAAAGAGAATGGTTCCTTATAGAAGGCGCGGAGAGCGGCGGAGAGATGTCACTCCCCGTGGAAGGATAAAACAGGGGACAGGATCTAGTAGGCCCTGCTTGTACTGAGGATCCTGCGCCCCTTGGTGTCATTTTACCGATACCCAGGGCAACAGCTACTGCTGCTGCTGTTCTACAGTCAAGAGTAATAACAAGTGAGTACTTCTTCACGGGTCTACCAGACTTCATCACGCGTGCATACCACCACAGCAGAAGAAAAATGTGTGTGAGAGTGACAGCGCTACCCGTTGTCTTGAGCGTCCACTTTTTAGACTACATACAGTCGAACCTCGGCTAAGGACACACCTACCTGTTTTTTCCTAAAAAGAAACATTGGCTGTTTCTTATACATCCGGATCCCTAACCCTTTTTCTCAGGATGGGCAAAAATACGGCTTCTTACACAGCCGAATTCTTCACATTATTTTTTTGGGTCGACGAATCCGGGTTCAGCTTTTTGGGTTGCCCCCACCCGAAAAGTTTGGCAGAAATCAGGATGGTTCCCAGCCGGATTTCTTATCCCAAAAAGTTCACCGCTGGCGAACCCAGACGACATAATAAATAATTGGCGAGTGCGACCTGAGTTCTTGACGTATCGCTCCCATCAAGGGCTCCAAGCAACCCTCGGCTGAAGGCTTGCTATTCTGCACGCTGACTGTTGATGGTCGCTCGGCACGCCACCATAAAAAAAAATATCGCATCACACTAAGCATGGAGACGCCGAAACAGGTCAAACCGCCACGAGACAGAAAAATAAAAAGAGCCGCTTTTTTTGTCAGAGGGGGAGGACACCGGGACTGATTTCTCGCTCCCTAGGCCCGATCGAAGCCAGACCGGTCAGGGCGAGCTCTCTGTTCCTCGCTCTCTGCTGGAGTAGATTTGCTCGGCAGCGCGTACTCTCGATTGACGGAGAGAAGCATGTGCGTGGTGCCCCGTTGCTTTTTCGAATTGTGTTTTTTTCTGGTCTGCTTCATTCGAGCATAGATAGACTGATGATGAGTTGAAGGCCTGGAAACAATTTTCACCGACAGCTTGTGTACACACAGACAACGATTTCGAATGATTGAATCAACGAGCTGCTGAGCAAATCTACTCCTGCAGAGAGCGAGGAATAGAGGGCACCCCCTGACCGGTCTGGCTTCGATCGGTGGCCTAGGGAGCGAGAAACCAGTTGCGGTGTCCTCCCCTCTCTGACAAAAACGGCTCTTTTTGCTGTCTATACCGGTTTGGCCTGTTTCGGCGTCTCCATGCTTGGTGTGATGCGCCAAGTTTTTTTTGCGCTTGCGCGCCGAGCGACCATCAACAGTCAGCGTGCAGAATAGCAAGCACTTCAGCGTAGGGTTGCTCGGAGCCCTTGATGGGAGCGATACGTCAAGAACTCAGGTCGCACTCACCGATTATCTCGTCTGGGCTCGATCTACACCTACCCCCCAAGAATCCGCCTGAGAAATCCGGTTCACTGTAAGAACGGCCGGACTTTTGTCCAGCCGGAATTTTGCCGATCCTGCAAAGTGAAGCTTTTGGATTAGGAATCCAGGTGTTTAAGAATCAGCCTTAAGCCGGGGAAGTGCCGTTAAATATTAATAGGTTGATACCCCTCCTTATGTTTTATATTCTGCGAGCCACCATACTTCCCGTGAGAAAAATGATGTCCTTCGCCGAGGGAGTTTCCTTAATATTGTTGTCCTAAAGCGAGGCACGACTGCAGTAGTATCTCTCTTTGTAGTGCACAGCCGATGTACATGCCATGTACCGTTGATCAGTCTTTCCTTTTTTCAACAAGAAAAAACAGGGGGACCACGGCGTGTAGTCTACGGCAGACCATTCTCCGTCGACGGGTCTTCTGTTCGCGGGGGCGATCAAGCCTGAGCAAGCAGACGAACAAGCGATTTCCGAACCGCGGGTGGTGGTGTCCGGGAATAACGGAGCGGGGATCCCTCCGGGCCCGAGCTGCATTACTTTTTTTCAACCTTCATATATTTTTATCACTGCGCCGAGGGCGTCTTAAATGCGTTCAGTGGCAGGAAGGGCGTTTACAGCTTGTCTGCACATACATGCAGCTACGAGGTCGATCGATCGCGTGGTGCTTCCGTTTCGTCCCTTTTTGTGAAATCGTAGCCGGCACGTTACTGTATTAAGCAAACATGTTGGATAAAGCATGCAATCGGGGAAGTTGGGTTATGGTTACGGTTATGGTTAGGGAATACGGTCTGCGTGTCCCCCCCCCTATTTCCTAAAACAATCGCGCGAAGGCGTCCTGTGAAATGGAACTGGGCGTAGGCGGGGGGGGGGGGGAAGGGGGGAGAGGGGGGGGGTGCGAGAGGGGAAAGCGACGTGGGCCAGAACTAATCCCAAGGGTCCAAATACCATCATCATCATGTCCTCATCGCAGGTGCATGACCGGCCTGGCGGGGATCCTGGCCTACCTAGGCGCGCTTTTCACGGCGGGAACAGTGAGGCGACGCTCTGGGGAACTTGACGGTACGTTCTCCTTCTTCATGTTACCCTATCAGCCCAAAAAAACAGGCTCAGATTGAGTTCTCTCTATCTGTAGCTATGTACTGTAGACAAATGTGTCTTCGTTCAAACTGCGTCTTCACGTGTTTTTTGTGGCTCTTGGATCGTTTCGGCCAGACAATAAAGCAGACTGACGTGGGTGAACAAAATAACAAAGCTGTTTCGAGCTACACATATAATAATAAGAATAGTGGTGCGTTCCTGTACGTGACGTGTATTAAGGGAAAGTGCGGCCTACTCATGCTACGTCTCGGCAGGGATGCGCGGCCAGTTGTCGAATGCCCGCAGCAAGCAAAATGTCGGCAAGAGACGGCGACACTTCCTTGCAGTAGTCGCCTTTCTTGTGCCCGTCGAATATTCTTCCCCCGGCAATGGTACACGCGAAAAACAAAACAAGACACATAAGCCTACAGTGTACATTAGTCGAAATCGGAGGCCGCGCGGGGGGCGGGTGGTGATTTGGTGGGGGGGGACTTTGATTTCTATATGGTTGGGGGTAACGACTAATTTAGTGAACAAAGCCCCCTATACTAATTCCAATATAAACCAAAATCGAAATTGCCCTCCCCGGAGGGGGGGGGTGTACTCATAGTCGTGCATGCCGTAGTCGTTAGTTAGACCATTAACCTCGCATCCCTACGAAGCCGGGACGGAGCACGCCGGGTTCTCACCGGACCAGGCTCTCACATCACCAAGCGCGAAGCGCCGTGAGGTGTTCGGCGAGTCACATGAAGGGTGCGCTGCATCCTGCTAAGGGTGTTCGGCATCTTGTGTTTACTTCCTTGCGTACGGATGACAGCCGCGTATGACTTAATTTATTTTCTGGTGCTTTCACTTCCAGAGACAGTTGTAAGCACTGTGTAACTGCCTCGAGGATGCTTGACCAATTTAACACAACGTGGTGCGATCATCCCCCTTGCGCGTACTGAGGGTTCTCGACCCCGCACAACATGATCTACTCGACCACCATTATGGTTACCGCCAAAAAAAAGCCAGAGGTAAAAAAAAAAAACGGTAACCTGGTTGCCGATTTCACGAAGTGAATTGTCTTGTTTTACAACGTCGTTGCCCAAGCGACGAAAACCCAACCCCGATGGCAAACACCGGGGGCGGTGGCATGTTTTACAACGTCGTTGCCAAGCGACGAAAGCCCAACCCCGATGGCAAACACCAGGGGGGGGCTAGGGGGGGGGGGGGGGCCATCTATGTGTCCGGATTTTGTTTTCCCTTGGACCCTTTCTTGGCCCCCCACGCACGTCGGTGTAGTCCTCTGTAGGAAGGGAACAATATTTTCCGGGAGAAAGTGACGGTTTGGATTAAAAAAAAAAAAACAGGGTTCTGAAAAGGATGTGGAAAGGCCCGGGAAAGGGAAATTACCCTCCCAAACCGGTTCTTTTTACCACCATTTCTTCCAAAAGCACAAAAAGATGATTCTTTTTTTCCTATTGCGAAAGCCACGGGGCAAGCAAGCGCACCAAGGGGCCCGTTGTGCATTTTTCCTTCTC